ATATATATATATATATATATATATATATATATATATATATATATATTTACATCAAGTTAAAGTCAGAATTATTAGACCCCCTGTTCATTTTTTCCCCGAATTTCTTTTTTTAATGGAGGGAAGATTGTTTCAACACATTTCTAAACATAATAGTTTTAACAGCTCATCTCTAATAACTGATTTATTTTATCTTTGCCATGATGACAGTAAATAATATTTGACTAGATATTTTTCAAGACACTTCTATACAGCTTAAAGTGACATTTACAGGCTTAACTAGGTTAATTTGGTTAACTAGGCAGGTTAGGGTAATTAGCAAGTTATTGGATAATGATGGTTTGTTCTGTAGACTATTGAAAAAAAAATTGCTTAAAGGGGCTAATAATTTTGTCCTTAAAAATGGTGTTTAAAAAATTTATAACTGCTTTTATTCTTGTCGAGATTAAACAAATAAGACTTTCTCCAGAAAAAAAAACCCAAAAAAAACATGATCAGACATACTGTGAAAATTTCCTTGCTCTGTTAAACATGATTTGGTAAATATTTAAAAAATAAAAAATTCAAAGTGGAGCTAATAATTCCGACTTCAACTGTATAGGCTGAGCACTGTATAAGATTTGGAGAACCACTTTAAAATCAAATAAGTATTGTGACATCAAATGCATATTACATATTCATCAAACATTGATCAAAAAATGCAAGATGAACAATATTCTAAGGTATGTTTTAAAATTTATGAACATTTTTCAATTTTTATGCAGAGTTTGACAGCTGTTATAAAATATATACAATGTCTGTGCAAATGTATGGTGCGGACACCCTTATTAGATTCCAAACAATTCAGATTATGTGCATATGCATTTATTTAAACAAATTAATGGTGAAATATTAAACAAATATCATATTCATTCATTCACAAGACTTTTCTTTACTAAACACAAATGCACCACTTGTGTGTTTTGGTTTAAAAATCATCCTCAGTCGAAGACAAATTTATTAATTTTTTTCTTTCTTTTCTTCCTTTTTTTGTCTTTGCCATGATGCATATATTTTCACTAGTTACTGTATTTTGCATAATTAAGTTAACAAGACAAGTTAATTAGACAAGTTATTGGACGATAGGGATTTTTGTTCTGTAGCCATTATAAAATATCTTAAGTGGCTAGTAATATTTACCCATAGGATTTATTAATTTATTTGTTTGTTTATTTATTCTCTCAAATACTGTGAAAAAATTCCTTGCATTGTCATAATCATAATGCATTTAAACCATAGTGTTGAACTTTTTATTTTGTCTCCCTGTCTCTTGCTAGGAGGAAAAAAAGAGCAAGTTTGAGGGCTCACGAGCAGAGGTCTCTTACATGCTGACTTCCACCTGCCCAGAGTTACTCATCTTAGGTCGGATCTGTATCAGCCGCAGCTTTAATGTCTGTTTGGCTGATCACTACACATTATCCACTGTCCCATTTGAAAAATAGTTCTGAAAATCTGTGATTTGGGCATTCAACTGAAAAATGTGTGTGTGTGTGCAGGTGCATGCGTATGTTTAAAGGAAATGACAAAGGGATGGTTCACCCAAAAATGAAATTTACTCATTTACTCCCATTCGGCATGTTTCCAACACATTACAGTTTCTTTCTTAAAATACAAAGGAAGGTATTTTGAAAAAATGTAAAAATTAGCAGCCATTGACGTCAGTACTTCCCCCACCCCTACTATGGATGGCAATGGCTGATGATTTCACACACACATACACACACATCTTCTTTTTTTATCAAACAGAAAAATAAGAAAGAAACACATTTAATACAACTTGAGGGTGTGTAAAAGTAAATTATTTTTAAAATGAACTGTTCATCCATTAAACGTGCTCTTGAAGCGTGTATAAATATATATGATTTGGAAGAGTGACCAAGACATAAATGTCCACTAGATGTCACTAGATGTGTTCACTTTTAACTCAACGAAACTAGGAAATCAGCCAAAAGCTCTTCATTCTTTAGCCCATATGTTTTTTATCTTCGTAAACTTGCCTGTTTAGGACTTTTATTTGATTTTATTGCCTATATATGCTAATTAACACACAAAATATAACACCTATTATGAAACTAGACGTTTGTTTTTCTCCAAACGTCCCCTTTGGCCAGGTGAACTCTGCACCAGTGAATGAGTGCATGCGTGTGTGGGTGTGAGAGAGCGAGTTTGTGAGATATTTGCCTTGTACAGCAGTATTGGTTAGAGAGAACAGCACATTTCTGGGTTAAAGTCTTTTTGGGTACGTGTGTGTGTTAATGTAAGAAAAGGGAGCTACAGATTGCACATTTTTATTGTAGATAATATACCCGTTTGCACAATAGCTGTACGCGGTTATAGATATTTTACTTATGTCATGGCTTTTTTATTAGCGGTTTTCACTGTGAATATCTGACTTTTATTTTGGATTAAAGTGTGTCGATGTAATCCAGTATGCAAATGTGTACTTTGATTAAAGACGAGTTTGTACAGTTGTTTTAAACTAATACGTTAGATGGCTTCAGAATGAAAATGTTGCTAGCTTTATGCTTTCCCATTTCCAAACCTGCCTTGTGTTAATCTTCAGAATAAATATGAAGATGTTTTTAATGAATTGTGAAAGATTTCTGTCCCTTCATAAAAATTACCGCACTCAGTAATACAATTAATAGTAATAATAATGAATTAAATTAATTAATAATACGATTGTGGCTGCTGTGCTGACTGTCTAGTGAAATAAAGGACATTTATTCCAGAGCCCAACATCTGGAGCTTAAGCGTTAATTTAAACTCTTTAAAAGTTCCTTTAAAGACAGTCTTTAATATTTGAAATCATTTAAAAAATGCAATAATTTACTACACTCACCGGCCACTTTATTAGGTACACCTCTCTAACTGCTCATTAACGCAAATTTCTAATCAGCCAATCACATGGCAGCAACTCAACGCATTTAGGCAGGTAGGCATGGTTGAGACGATTTGCTGCAGTTTAAACAGAGCATTAGAATGGGGAAGAAAGGTGATTTAAGTGACTTTGAATGTGGCATGGTTGTTGGTGCCAGACAGGCTGGTCTGAGTATTTCAGAAACTGCTGATTTACTGGGATTTTCACACACGACCATCTCTAGAGTTTACAGAGAATGGTTATAAAAAATTAAAATATCAAGTGAGCGGCAGTTCCGTGGGCGCAAATGTCTTGTTGATGTCAGAGGAGAATGGCCAGACTGGTTTAAGCTAATAGGAAGGCAACAGTAACTCAAATAAACACTCGTTATAACCAAGGCATGCAGAAGAGCATCTCTCAATGCATCACACATCCAACCTTGAGGCAGATTGGCTACAGCAGCAGAAGATCACACCGGCTGCCACTCCTGTCACATAAGAACAGAAAACTGAGGCCAAATTTGCACAGGCTCACCAAAATTGAACAATAGAAAATTGGAAAAACGTTGCCTGGTCTGATAAGTCTCGATTTCTGCTGCAACATTCAGATGGTAGGGTCAGAATTTGGTGTCAACAACATGAAAGCATGGATCTATCCTGACTTGTACCAACGGTTCAGACTGGTGGTGGTGGTGGTGGTGTAATGGTGTGGGTGATATATTCTTGGTGCTCTTGGGCCCATTATTACCAAATAAGCGTTGTGTTGATGCCACAGCCTATCTGAGCATTGTTGCTGACCAAGTCCATCCCTTTATGACCACAGTCTGCCCATCTTCTAATGGCTACTTTCAGCAGGATAACATGCCATGTCAATAAGCACAAATCATCTGACTGGTTTCTTGAACATGACAATGAGTTCACTGTACTCAAATGGCCTTCACAGTCAGCAGAACTCAATCCAATAGAGCTCTTTTGGGATGTGGTGGAACGGGAGATTTGCATCATGGATGTGCAGCCGACAAATCTGCAGCAACTGTGTGGTGCTATCATGTCAAATGGACCAAAATCTCTGAGAAATATTTCTAGTACCTTTTTGAATATATGATATGAAGGATTAAGGTGTGTATTCATGACAAATGCAGTATAACAGTTTTTTTTTATATTTTATTCATAAAATTGCCTGTGACAAAAATAAAACGCTATTTTCATTGAACAGTGTGAAATCATTACATTTATTCCACAATAAATATCCTTAAAACATTTATTTTTACATATAAAAAGTTTTTCCTTGATTGCCTCTGAAAATGTTTTTCCAACATTTATTAAAAGAGAAATTGTAAAAGTGCTCGATGGCTCCTTCAACAGTAAATGGTAAACTTTAAACACACAAGCTGTAATGAACATTCAATGCGGTTTGTTTTACACAAGGTAGAAATACACACAGTGCATTTAATACATAGTAATGCTTATGATAATACTCTTTCTATACTGGAGTGTTTGAGTTGCAGTTTCCTGTATTCAACGCTGTAAGTGTTTCCGTCATGAACAAGACCATTTCAATCATGTGAAACCTTAACGACAGAATTAAATAACAAATATTACATCATAAAAAAGTCAAACAATTGTGCTCTATTGTAGTGATTTCCTTCGTTGTGAAATGGTGGAATCAGCTTGTATCTGTTATCACTTTGCCTCAGGTTTGACCTGGGCAACATAATCACCGGTACGAATGATGGTGAAAGATCGACAAGCTGAATATCTCCCATCTTCAGAACAGCAGTAGCGCAATGCTATCAGAGAAGTCCATGTGAAACGCATAGAGCTGACAGAGCAGGATCACATTCTGCTTACAGCGTTTCATCGATGGCTTGTGATTGGCTGCTTTATTTCCCTTAGAGACTCGCATGCATTTACAATAGTGGCATTCTTAAGACTTCCAGTTCAGTATAATGATATGGTAAATAAACTCAAAGAAAGTTTTAGGGCTACAACTTGGAGATATCCATTCGGTGGGCATTTGGGTGGTTTCAGGCATAATCACTGCCATTATTAGGACTGACGGCTCTTCTGGAGGGCTCGAAGGCTCTACAGGGAAACTTGAAGGCTCTGCAGGGATTACGCCGTTGGACTTTTCATGGTTTTCAGGCAAACTTGCAGGCTCTACGTGGATTTCGCCGTTAGATTTTTCATGGTTTTCAAAGCAAACGTTGTCATATGTAGCTTTACTATTGAGCTCCATCTCTTTTTCTTGTTCTTCTTGAATCTGCAGCAGAAGTGCGTTGTTTACTCCAGGACCTGGGAAACACACACACAGTCCTTTTTATTAGTTAAAGTCCCATTGAAATCAAAATGTAGTTTTAGACGTTAGTATCAGTATTTTAATCTCCATGTCTACTAAAGTGTTTTATTTTTTTCTTGAGCTAAGAAATAGTTTTTCGTTGTTGTTAATAGTAGCTCAATGTTCATAAATGTCTTTAGTAAATGCACACCCTGATCTGATGCGGTAGACACAGGCGAATAATGTCATTTTTAAATTGTTTTGGTGTACAAAAGTGTTCTTGGAGCTTCGTATGATTAAAGTTGAACCACTGCAATTCACATGGAATAATTTGACAATGTTTTTGGTGTTGCACTCTATTATCCTTAAATAGTATCTTTATACGTCTTGATTTTTGTTTTAAATATGCCAGTCAAGATTTTGTATATATGAATAAAGGTAATGACAGTCATTAAGTGACCTACAGTAAAGGTCAAGTGAGTGACAGTTTAGTTTAATAACTTACCAAAGTAACTGAGCAGCACAGGCAGAAATATGAGTCCATGGGCCATGCCGAGAAGAGTTATGACCAGATTGAGTCTGAAGAAGAAGATCTGGATGAGCTGAGCTTTAGCAAACGCCAAAACAACAATTCCGGGCAGATTGGTCATCGCAACACCAGCAAACACCTGAGAGAGACAAGGGATTTAAGAAATTTTTTTAAACTACAGTAGTAGTTTTAAAATTTACAGTAGTAAAGACATTTTTTTGCTCAAATTGTTGTCCTTTGTGATTCATTAAATGCAAGTAAAAGTGTCACTCAGAAATATCTTAAAAATAGCCAGATAACATTTACATTGTAAAGAAATGTATCATTCCTATTGTTTTCTGCATTGTATTACCGTGTATGTATTTATGTATGTATATTCAAACTCAAAAAAGTTGTTTCATTACCCTTTAAAAAAAATTTGTTGAACAAAAGAGTGTTTTTTTGTGGCATTTTAATTAAGGCAAGTTTATTTATATAGCACATTTCACACAGTGACAATTCAAA